GTCGGACTGTAACTGGGACTGGTAGGTGAGTAACTGGGACTAGTCGGACTGTAGCTGGGACTGGTAGGTGAGTAACTGGGACTGGTCGGACTGTAACTTGGACTGGTAGGACTGTAGTTCGGAGAAGTGGGAGAATAGCTGGGACTGGTAGGCGAGTAAGACGGCGAAGTGGGAGAGTAACTGGGACTCTGTGGCGTGATCGATGGCGAAGTCGGTGCGTAGGCAGGCGACGAGGGTGAATAACTGGGAGAGAGAGGTCCCGCTGGAGAAGGAATGTAGGGCGAGGCCGGGGAAGAAGGTGAACCCGGCTGCGGAGACCAGGCAGGACTATATCCCGGACTGTAACCACTGGCATCACTAGCCGCAGAAGGAGAGAATCCGGCAGCGCCTGGAGTCATGCCGCTTCCCAGTCCCGGTGACCAGGCACTGGCATAAGCAGGAGTGGACCCCTGGTTCCAGGGAGTCATCTGAGGTGACATTCCGCTCACGGGTGTGGCCGCACTTCCAAAAAATACTCCAGGACCACCTGTAATTTGGAACAAATATTTATGCTAATGTTCTGCAAAGTCATTTATGTGTAAACTTGATATATTTGTACTAAGAGTTATTATAATTGCACTATAAAACGTTTTAAAATACAGTAGTGTTGTTCTCAAAATATAAAAAGATTCAGAATTAATGAGGAGAATGTCAAAGAAACTGTTAAGACAATTTCAGTGTCATTTTTCTTCATTCTAACACAAAATAAAGTACCCAGAGATCTGGAAGAAAATGCAGAAAGATTCTAGTTCATCATGAATGGTTCGTTTAAATTGCTCGCGCGCAAGAGGGCGCCTTCGTTCGTTTTCTTCGATTTCCATCGACATCTGGCAGAGATCGGTACGTCGTCGTCTGTTTTCGTTTGCAAATAAACGCTTGTTTTGAATATGAAAAAAAATTTTTGCCGGAGATTTTTCAAAATGGAGCGTTATTATTCGGCAAAAATAACTTGTATTAAATTTCGTTTTCGCAGCGGAATTAATACTACACAAACGGAAACCGCAAAAATCCTTCGGTAGCGAAAGTCAGTGCCGGCGCTACCTTACGGGAAAACCGGGCATTAATTAACCTAATGCTGCTAATTTTCATAAATTTATTAAAAAAATAAACATTTTCAGGCGTATTATTAATTATTATTATTTATATTACACGGCGCCAGTTAATTAAATATGGACTGACGGAGCAATTCAGAACAAAAAGTTTTTTTTTTTTCATTTTACATAGGGAAATATTATGAGGCGTCAAATGCGGCATAAACTCTAGCGCCGGCTCTGACGAGTCTATCAAACACGAGAGTTTTCGAGAATCATAAATGATGAAATACTGTAAGCACTTCGGTACTGTCGAGTGAAATATCTCTCCAAACGAATATCAGGGAATTGCTCCAAATGCACTCTTTATTTGCCGTGCAATAGCTTAAATTTGGTTCCAATTGATGCACTACGCTCCAATATTCAAGCCAAATTTTTTCAGGAACTCTAACCTAACTCCACGTGGCCAGGCCCGAACTCAATGACTGACCACCAGTGTTCAGTAGTGTTATCCACTAGGCCACAGGTAAATTATTTCGGCATTTTAAAACTTTGGCATTCAAATTTAGCGTTTTAGATCCTCCAATGCATGAAGCAGTTGCAGAACGATCCTTCAGTCGAGTGAAAAATAATTTCTACCTTCGTTCTATAATGGGCGAGCAAAGATCGTCTGTGGTAGCTTTGTTCCTCGTTGTAAGTCAGTTGACTGTAGTGTATATCGAAGCACAAAATATGAGTTTGAAATTGTTTGGTACGTGTCATGATTTTGTGCGCTCGCATCCTCTAACTTTAGGAACCAGACTAGGCCCTTGCTCATTGTTCTGTAATTTCGAAGTTGTGAAATTTCAAAATTCACATTGTTCTAGAATTGTGTGAATGCTGTCCGTAACGTCGTTCTGATACAAGATGGAACACTTGAAAAGATGCTTGAATCCGTGATGCGACATGGCACACTTGCGTAGATCCATGAGGGATGCTTCGAGCATCTGCTATGACTAGCCAGTCTGCCATACTGTTCCGTAATTTTATGCAGTATATACCATTTATTGTGCATTTCCGGATGTATGGTACTGTACGTTTATAGTATTGTTTCGGAATCGCCAGTTTATTCCCGTATTTTGGAACCGCCTTGTAAACACTTCATTTACAACAAAGGAGACGTCGAACGTGCCATCGCCATATTTTAAAATACGCGAGTCGTTACGTGCGATATTGTACGTCAAATAATGCTTCGAGCCGATTGGTCTGCCTCGCGCACGCGACATTTAGACGAACGAAACCTTTCTTACAGCACAAGGAAAAAAAAAGACGATAAAGAAAAAGTAAAATTTAAAAATTTATTCCGATAAAATGTAAATTTTACAACGAAAAACGATCGGTTCGATCGACTACACATGTTCCCATTATTCATTGTCGCTATCGTCGTCCATATTGGGACTGGTCGGACTATAAGTAGGCGACGAAGGAGAATATCCAGGACTGGTGGGCGAGTAACTCGACCCTTTGGGGCTGGTAGGAGAGTAAGTCGGACTGGTAGGACTGTACTTTGGCGAAGTTGGGGAGTAAGTGGGGGAGGTTGGAGAGTACTTGGGAGAAGAGGGACTGTACTGCGGACTGGAAGGACTGTACTGGGGCGACGAGGGCGTGTACGTGGGACTGGTAGGCGAATACTTGGGGCTGGTGGGTGAGTACTTCGGACTGCTGGGCGAGTACGACGGCGAAGTCGGCGAGTAAGTGGGCGAAGCCGGACTGTACTTCGGAGACGAAGGCGTGTACTGCGGCGATCCGGGAGAATAACTGGGGCTGGTGGGGCTGTACGACGGAGAAGTGGGAGAGTACTTGGGGCTGGTGGGCGAGTAACT